CATTTATCATATCTGCCTCCTCTCCCTCCTCCCTGCAGGTACCAACTACACTGCCTTAGTGGTTGGGATAGTGCTGGGCTGCACAGTGGTGTGTGTTGTCTTTCTGCTGTTGAAGAAGTCCTTTGTGGGGGTACCATACAGGAATGTATCCCTAAGAATTTGAGACTATCACTGCAAAGGGCATTTAAGGAAGTCAGATGGTTGGGAAGATTACTGCACTTGAACTTGAAGGACACAACTGAAAATTCCGAGAGAGAGCAACATCAAAGTTTGTGGGAATCAGATGCTGAGCAGATTGCTTATAGCAACATTTCTGAGTTTGGTACAGGTACCACTGGTGGCACGAAGCCCACAATCAAGTGGTGTATGGGTGGTTTAAATTCTAGAATCCACTATGACACCGATTAAAAAAAAGAATGTGGAAAACACCACATACTTGTGACTTTTAGATGTAGTTTGCTTAAGGACTTGTCTTCACTGCAACAAATAGCTTAAGTTATTCCTCTCGTTAGCCTAACTCTAGTGAGTGCAACCACATTATGAAACAACACTCAAGCTACACAGAGGAATGGATTAGCATCTGATGAGTTGTGCTAACTTGAGATGCATCCCCAATGCATTGCTAGTTTGAGCATCAAATGCATTAGAACTTCAAACTACCCCCCCTGACAGACCAGTTAGCTAGGGTTTAAAGTATCACCTAACTAAAGCTAGAGATTTTTGTGTGTGGACTTCTGTCAGGTTGGGGTCAATACTTGAGTTATACCTCGAGCTAACACTGCTGTGAAGACAAACCTTCAGTCTTAACCTCTGTAAGAACTGCTGACTTACGGGAAACATCTCACATATAAACAAGCTGCTCTCAAACTACAGTCCAGGGCTTAATGGTCTGGAGCACTTCCTGGTGGGCATGTAGTATTTTGAGTACCAAGTGGAACCAAGATTTAGCTGTTGGGAAGGAAGGTGCCTTATGAAAGATCTTCTTTTCTGAAGTGATGTGCATAAGAAGAGTTGGAGAACCAATGGTGAAACGAATATGCAGGGCTACATAAGCTTATACAAAAATGCATGTAAGGTTGGGCCTAGGCAAGAAAGATCATCTTCAAAGCTGTTAGATTTTGCATGGAGTTCAACAAGCACCCACTGATTTTGGAAGGAAATCAGTGAGGCTCACTGATAACATTTATTTCTCTGTCTCACTCAAAAACCTTACACTTTCCACTTTGAGCATTCTCTCACCCTTCAGTGTCATGTTAAATTGTAAACTCCTTGTGGCAGGGACAGTGCCTTCTTGTATGTTTATACAGGGCCTAACATATTGGGAGACCAGGGTAGTACAAATGATAAATCAGAGAAGTGAGAACAGGAATTTTAAACTATTGATGCAGGCATCTCGCAGTGTTACAGGAGGGTGAAAGCTAAATGACTCATGATCCAGAAATGTACTTCCTGCAGAGTGACAATGCATTTATGAAATATAATCTACATATGAAAGAACCCAGTCAGGGCTCGGGCTGTGTATTCGCTGGGCATATTCCACACCTGTAGCAGCCGGAATGCTCTAATTATGTCCAGAATTCTAAAGCCACTTGATAACTAACCCCATACCAGATCCAAAGCAGCAATAAAATGGCTATGGAAGATTTCAATTTTCTTCACTCCACAAAGGGCCAGTTACAGTGTTAGCAGATGTCTCAACTACCATTGCAGTGGAATCATAAAAGCTTCTTTGTTCAGGTGGGGCACTGCCTTGGCCAAAGTGTCTGCTACATTTGCAGAGCTGCTACAATGTCTGCAGCTGTGTTTTAGTACGCCATTAAGCCAAAAGAAAATTGGATTTTAAGAGGCATTACAAGTCTAATTTTAAACTGAGAAAAAGAAGGAAATACACACTGAAGGTTATTATTCAGTATCCACCTCTCAATTTGGTGAAGTCCAAGTGTGAGAACAAGACCCACACTAAGAAATAAGAAAAAAACAGCAGAAATGTTCAGACAATGTGAAAGCCTTTTCTTTAGAGTGACACCGGCATTGTTTTATGACATTTTTACAATATTAAAAGTACACTTGCCATTTGTGAGGCATAGGGACCAATTTAAGTCTCTACTGATGGAAACTTGACACACATAATAAAGGTCGCTGCTTGGATGCAAGAGCTGAGATGCCTACTATGCATACTTCTCAACCTGCCAAGACCCAAACACAGAACAATACTCTGCATAACACAACGTGTGGCAGATTCAAAAAGGGTCAAAAATTATTCAGGGAGGAAACTTAAAATGTCTTGGGATTTTTTTTTAGCGACACTCTTTCCACAACCGCAGTTTCATGATTATTTATTTCTGATGTAAATACACTTTCAACAATAAAATGAGGGGGATGCCAAATTTGTGTGGAACATGTTTAACTTTGGGACTAAATGAGGGACAGCTGAGAGATGCTCCAATAGCTGGGCACATAATGACTTAAGCTTTCATTTCTTTCTCTGTGCCTATACTTCAACTTTGTTTGCATTTAACTAATTTCAAAATGAATGGGAATGTTAAACACGCCAGTAGTTTTGGTGCCAAGAACATACCATATATGCATTTGAGAAGCAAATTCAAGAGATGTATTGCTGTTTGAAAACATTTTCCAATAGTTCTTCGATTATGAAAACTGTAACTTTGAGACTATCAGCCCCTCCAGGGGCGAGGGGACCGGAGAGTGTGTCATGAGATGGAAGCTGATTAAAAGTGACATCAGCTCTCTGTGCTCCGGTATGTGTGAGGGAGAGGAGGGGATAAATGGCACTAACTTTCGTAACAATGTTCACCCTAACATATTTTAGTAATTCAATGATACAGCAACTGCATTTCTAAATAAATCAAATATATTTCACCATCTGAAATCCACTGCAATGTTTTCTCAGTCCAGGATTTCTTCCAAAATTTAAAAAAGCCTGAGCCAAACAGTATCTGCTGCTTCCTTTGTGGTTACCTTTACCCCTTTTTCATCCTGTTACCCCTTTCATTGCTCCACTCAGCAGAAGCTAGTGTCCTTGCACTTTTATCCAGTGACCAAAGAACAGGAAGACTCCTCACAAAGCTAACATGCTCTTTGGACATGTTTTGTAAGACAGCCTGACATTCTTTCCACCCCAGTGTAGACACTCACTACAGTGACAGGAGGGGTTCTTCCATCACTGTAGTGGTAAATCCACCTCCCTGAGAGGCGGTAGCTAGGTTGATGGAAGAATTCTTCCGTCAACCTAGCACCATCTACAGCCCTGAGTTTAAATTGGTCGTATTGTATGAAAACTATATTTTTTAAAAATAGTGTCAGCATCAGTTCACTATTTGTCACTAAAATTTCTAAGGCTGTCACTTGCTAGTCCCCCATGCACATTAGGGTGAGGGTTTCCTTCTCAAAATCACTTACTTGCTTTGCTATTAGAAATCAGGTCACTACCAAACAGCCAATGTTCTTTTTTCATCAGACAGTGCAAGCAGACATTATGCCTCACCTATCCAGCCACTTCTTGCTCGGGCATGAAATGCCTACTCCCTGTTTTGCAATAAAAATGGATCCAATATGAGGACTATTTAGATCAGAAAGAAAAAGGGCACACGAGATGGAATAATGAAAAATAGGGAAGACGCCTCTTCATCTAGTCCCTTAATGTGAGAACAAGGAGGCACTCAAAAATATTAGGTAGTACATTTAACGTATACATATTTTTTACAATGATTAACCTTGAAAACTTCCTCGTACAGGTGCATACAAAGTTTAGTAGATAGTCACAAGAGGCAAAAAAAATACATAAGCAGCTACAATAGAAAGTGTTACGATGGATAGTTACCTTTTTAATACTTTGAGCTCATCTAGCATCTTCAATCCAAGGGTCACCAAAGACATTTCCAATTAGGAATCAAGCCTCAGCACTCCCCTGAGATGGCAACGTGGTTGTAGTCCCTTATTCCAGATGGGGAACTGAGATGTTAATAAGTTTGCACAAAATCAGGTAGGAAGCCTAAGGCACAGCTTGAAATAGAACCCAGTTTACTACCCAAATCCAATCAAAAACTATTTTGAATTAAGTTACGTTTCACTTTGCGCTTTCAAAACCACAAGTTCTTGCCATCACACTTCTAGTTCAAGCTGCCACTGGGGGAAAAAATAGTACTTGGGACTCTAATTTTGGGTGAAATGAGCCTTGGTGAAATTACAAGTCTTCTCTACTGGCCCCTAAATGTTTCAATAAGAAAAATAAAAGCAGAAAAGATTGGCAGTCTTGAGAGCAACTTTCAGTTTCCTGCCCTTAGAGAACTAGGTTTCTCTCAACTGCTTTTAAATGGGGGGGGATGGGGGGGAAGAGGGGGGAAATGAAGGGAGAGGCAGGAATACGGACTATCAAAGCTGGGAACATGCTAAAGAGATATGGGAGGCAGTGTAGGCTGGTGCAGTATTTCTCAAACTTGATTGTGCCCCCCTTGTGTCTGTAGTAGTTTATTCCCCCTCCTCCTGCTACACAAGTATATATATACACACAACAATAAAAAAAAAAAACAATATGCAGCTCTCACTTAAATATTAAAAACAAGTAAGGCTTTGATCCAAACAGAGCCAACAATCCATTGTAATAAGAGCAAAAGCAAAACAGCGATTGTGGTCGATGCTTACAATGAAATGCGCATGCCGGGTCGTAGCAAACAGATTAACATACAGATGACAACGACTTTGTATCATGCAAGGTTAACAAAATCCATCAATATGCACAGTGCCATCTAGAGTCAAATGCACAGCGCCATCTGAGGAGCTACGATGTCTGGAGGAATCAGCTTTGCTAGTTATTTATGGCGGTGGGTAAAATGTGTACAGCAAGTTTGTTCCCCCTAAAGCAGCTCATTCGCCCCTCCCCCCAAATGCAGTCTGCTGCCCTTCCCCTCCCCCACCCCCACCCAGGGGCCCGCCTCCCAGTTTGAGAACCTCTGGTCTAGTGGATAGGGCTGTCTGTTTTGTCTATTTAGACTGTACATTCTTTGGGGAGAGCCTATCTCTTGCTCTGTGTGAGTACATCAACCAGCACAATGGGGCCTCAATCTCAGTCCTGGTCTATTTTAGAGTTAGGTAGACGCAAAACAGCTTACGTTGACCTATATAAGCATCTACAGTAAAATTTCGCTTCCACAGACGTAACTGGCCCGTTACACTGACTTAACTCGACCTCCACGAGAGGCGTAGAGTCAATGTTGATTTAGTTAGGTCAACACAGTGTGTGCAGACACTGTTGCTTACATTGACTGTTGCTGGCTGTTCCACACTGCCCCACACTGATAGTTCAACTGGTGCAAGCGTTCCTGGTGAGGACGTGCACCGCTGACATAAGTAGCAAAGTGTAAACACGCACAAGCGATGTAATTACCGCAATGACTGTATCCTGATGTAAATAAGGTAGGCTTAATTTTGTAGTCTAGACATGGCCTCAGTCTGGGCCTCTACATGCTAATGAAATAGATGTTCCATATCATTTCACTGGATGGTCCACTGAAAACTGCAGCTGAGATGTATGTTCTGGCAGCAGAGAACTAAAAGAAAATCCTTGACAGGAGCTGTGACAGGGATGAAGATTTAACCAACATTTCCATCGTAAGTGCAAATCTGAAAGCAGGGCTTCAGTTTATAACACAGCCAGAAATCCTAGAAACCCCATGGCAGATTATTTAAACTCTCACAGCAGTTTTGAGCAAGTAGAGCTAATAAACATTTCCCCTCAGAAAAGGAAACAAGGCTGGTCTGCCTGATGACTATGATTACAGCATCTCATGCTCCCTTTAAGGAAAAACGTAACCAGGAGAAACTTTATGAGTCCTGCTCCCTGGAAAATACTGCAGAAAAGGGTGGTCTCAATTTCAGTCATGAAAAAAAACCAACCATGAATGCATCCATCTTCCAGCAAACACTTTCGCATGGTTAGGACTAAGGTGGAGGGAAAACCCTTCTTCATGGTCTGACTGTCCCCTTTCATTTTTAAAATGGATGGAAAGGAACAAATGACATACTCAATATGAAATGCAAAGAGAATGAGTCATTGATCTGCTAAGAAACTATGTACAGGATGAAATCTATTTGGTCCAAGTAAATTCATTTCTACATTTTTACTTCTGTAATAAAATTAATTCCAAGAACAGACAATGACACTGTACTTGCCAGAGATCAATATTTCTGACAATCCAAACAATACAAATTCATAATATGTGCTGCACAAGACAGTACTGCAAATGACTTTTTAGAGGGTCCTTTAAAACAACCTTTGAGTAGATTTTTTACAGAAGAGCATTAACCTGAATACACAATGAGAAAAGAGCACATTATGTCAATGGTATCACCAAGGTGAGCTGCTTCAGACTCAATTGTTCAGTTGCACTCATGCAGGATTTATCTAAGCATTTTCCTTTATATCTCAAATCTGTCACACTTTCAAAAATCCATTTAGAGAGTCTGGAGCCAACTTTGTGACTCATTGGACAGGGGGCTAGAATAGACTTCAAACTGCAATTCAATGCAGCATTAATTGTGGAGTTTGATATCTGACCCACAGGCACCAGCTGATAAATGAATGGACCTAAATTGAGAGTATTCCAGAACTGTTTTGCTATGGAGCTGAATTACCACGTTCCCAACTAAGGGCTGACATTATATAACCCTGGAGTGGGGTCTCTGCCCTTTAGCACAAGTGTTGGTACTATAAATATAAATGCTCTTTTTAGGATGTTTTCCCATGTAAAATGTAGAAACTTCTTTTTTCAAGGGCAGGGGGGAGAAAATCTGCAAGAAAGGTTTCACTACCAGAAAGATAAGTGAGACTATTTCAGGATCATCTTTAAGGAGTGATACACGTTAATGCTTTCTTGTTCACAAGCTTTATCCACTCTGCACGTACATTGGTACTGCCTCTTCATGATCACAGAGTCAACGGAAGTGCTGATGGCCCTCTCCATCAGCAAGACATCCCATTCACAGACAAGAAAGTCTTCAGTCTCTCTGGCTCTTCATCCATCCCAGCTACAAGGAGGCCTGCTCCTTCATTTCCTGCTGAAACGAAACACATCCAACAGCATGACATGGCTAGCCAGCCCACAGCTGGAAAGGAACTTCTAACCGATATTCATCTAATCCCATCCAGATTTTTGTTATTTGCAGTCTTTCATATTGGCAGATCCAAGAAACAAATCAATTAAACCACCAACCTATTAACAACAAGTATCTGAAATCTGTTTGTTCCTACTATACAAAATATATGAAGTTGCCCAAATACTAACTTATCAAAGCTCAAAGTGTGACAGATATTGCAATCCCATGCAGTATTTTGGGGGGACATTGTAATAAATTTACAAATGGTTTATGTATGAATGTGTTCTACTCCATGGCAGAGGGTTACTGCAGCTCCTACAGAAACTAAAAACAGTGGGTGGTGATTAAGGCGAGTCACTGAGACCAAACAACTTTAGAAAGGTACTGCCCCATGGTGGTTTGCATATACTGGTTCATGATGAGTTTTCCAGAGATTAAGGGCTCGTCTACATTTCCAAGTTTTGTTGACAAAATTTATGTTGACACCCAAAAGTCGACAAAACAAAAATCGCCAAAGGGTGTTCACACTTGCTCCCTCTGTCGACAGATCATGCCCACATTGTGGGCCCCATCATCGACAGGGTGAGCAATGCACCGTGGGTATGTATCCCACAGTGCAGCATTGTGGGAAGGAAGAGCTGATTGCTGGGCATCTTGGGATTCTCTCTGAATTCTCCCACAGCCCCCTCAGCTGCCGAGAGCAGCATCATGAGTAGCTGTGTGAGCTCTCCCTGCTGAGGAATGGCAAAGCAGCACAGCAGTCTATCCCCCTCCCCCTGCAGCAGTCTGCCTGCTGCTGTGTTCCTAGCACAGGGCAGAACAGGAGCATTCGAGTTATTTGCTCTTTGTTTCTTCCCCAAGCAGAGCAGCACACAGATACTTCCCGCAGCTTTGAAAGGGGAGGGCTGTATGCCTGCAGGGCAGCAGAGATCAAAACACTGAGCAGAGGGATCAGGGCAGGCATCGTGGGATACTGACGGAAGCCAGTTCTGTTGACAAAACAATCAGCAGTGTCTACACTGGCTCTTTGTCGACAAAAAAGGGAGGGGAAAGACAAAAGTCTCTCGTGGGGATGGAAGTTTTTTGTCGCCAAAACTGGGCATTTTTCATGACAAAAGTCCCATTGTAGTGTGTACGCTTTTGCTGTTTTGTCGCCAAAAGGCAGTTTTTGGCAACAAAACTTGGTAGTGTAGACAAGGCCTAAGAGACAAAAAAATGGCTTTTGGTATAAAAGGATGAGCTTGAACTAACATAGGGCTTCTTTCTGATTCAGCAAATGGACAGGAGCTTATCTCCAAGGGGGATCCCCAACCCTTGTGAAAGGATTGGAATGATTTTGGCCTACAAGGGTCCAATAAAATTGATGGGTGACTCCTGGTATGTTTAAATCTGTGTATTGCTTTTATTATGTTTTTACTGTAATGCTTTTACCTTAATTATAAAGGTGCTTGCTTAGCAAGAACTGTGTGGTAATTTTTAACTCTTGTCAATACACTGTTCATAGCCCTAAGTGAGAAAGCAAAGCACAGGTGCTGGCCTTTAGACATATTGGCTAGCTGGTGATATCAGAGTGTCAGGCAGGGGAGCTATGCAGCCTTAAAACCCCCTGGTCAGAAGGCAGTGGGACAAGAGTTCCCGGCCAGACACAAGTGGCAGCTGGAAACGCGATACCCAACTGGGAACTCCTGGAGCGGACCATGGATGGGGGGGATACAGGTGACGTTCCCCTGCAACTGACATACTAAGAATTTACACATAAAAGATTAATTTCTCCTAATGAAAAGACTGAGTGAACCCAAATTCCATATTTCCCTTTATCAGTCTGTGTGTGTAGCTGTGCATTTCAAACCCAATAATTGTAAGTCAAAAATGCCGTTAGTAAAAGGAAATTAAAAGACACAAGAGACAAAACATGTAGTTAATCAAACTGCAATTTAAAAAGACTCGTACTTCTGTTGTTATATCAGAAAAATTGTCATCTTTGTGACACTATTCAGAGTTATTCCTGAAATATAAATATTTCTGGTCAAAGAATCCATTCCCATGGTGCTTTACCCATATTTCCTCACCTGCCATTGCAGAGAAGAATAAGGTTCTGGACTGCTATAACAGTGGAATTCTCATTCTGTCCTGTAACAAGATGCCTGTCCAGAACTATGTGTACAGCATCTGGCTTGCTGGCTGAATAAGAGAAAAATATTCAAATACTGATGTCAATGGACATTGCTTCATAATTTCGATTTCACCTATCCAATGAGACTGCAGTACAGAAGTTAACTATTTCAAATAGACATAGTGTTTGGTGACTAATTGATATGTTGAGCTGTCTACAAGAGAGAGATAAACCTGACCCTCCAATCAAAGCTTCCTGAAGATTTCAACAGGAATTCCCTGCATGGAATGATGGACACATTGGCCCTTTATTTGTACCAGTCCTCTATCAAGTTCCCTGTGTATTTCATGAGGCTATCCTGGGAAACAAATTTTGAAGTGCATTTCTTTAGCTTCCATTCACCCATGCAATACATTATAAATACCCCTCATGTAAGAAACCAAGGTTAGCAATCACTGCCTTACAAAGAGCCCGCAATGATACAGATTTTCTGTCCAGTGAAAATACTAGCAAATAGCAGTATATCAGGGTAACATGTTGGTATTTCACCAACCACTTTGGTCTTTTGTCCTTGATCAAACTTTTTTACATACTATTTTACGAAATTCCATTAATCTGTCATTCTTTTTCTGTATTCCACCCCCTTCCTGACAACTGATGATGATAATCCAAATGCGTGGGTAGGTATAAATGGCTTAGCTCTGAACATACTCCTCCTGCTGCTGCTCAATCCACTCAGTAAAGCTTCAGCCAAATCTGTATGACATCACAAGTAGTCACCATGCAAGTGACTGTGACATCAGATGCTGGAATATCATTACTGAACTAACCAGGAAGAGGCAGCTAATTAGAAAGGGGAAAGCTGCTATTTAAACACACAAAAAGCTTGATTAGCAGCAGTAATGGAAAAACATTTTTAACTTTCCAGGGTCTTTTAGCATGTGTTGCATTTTAATTTAACAGAGTGTAACAGAGCACATTCTGTAATGGTCCTTCTCACATGTGTGGCAAAGGTATAAAATAGGGGTGAGCAAACTTTTTGGCCTGAGGGCCACATCTGGGTGGGGAAATTGCATGCAGGGTCATGAATGTAGGACTGGGGCAGGAGGTTGGGGTGCGAGGGGGGGAGGGTGCGGTGTGCATGAAGGGGCTCAGGGCAAGGGGTTGGGGCGCAGGAGGAGTGCGGGGTGTACGAGGGGGCTCAGGGCAAGGGGTTGGGGTGCTGGAATGGTGTGGGGTGTTGCAGGGGGCTCAGGGCAGGGGGTTGGGGTGCAGAAATGGTGCAGGGCATAGCAGGGGGCTCAGGGTAGGGAGAGTGGGGGTGTGGGGTGCAGGTATTTGGGGTGCGGGCTCCGGCCTGGCGCCACTTACCTTGAGCGGTTCCGGGGTGGCAGCGGCGTGCAGCGGGGCTAAGGCAGGCTCCCTGCCTGCCCCACGCTGCTCCCAGAGGTGGCCGGCACCACGTCCCTGCGGTCGGGGGGGGGGGGTGGTGGTGGCAGAGGGCTCCACGCTCTGCCCTCGCCTGGGGGTACCTCCCCCGAAGCACCCATTGGCCCCTGCTCCCTCAGGAGCCACAGGGACGTGGTGCCGGCTACTTCGGGAGTGGCGCCGGGCCAGAGCCAGGGAGCCTGCATTAGCCCCGCGGTGCCACAGGGGTGGCAATCACGCGGGCCGGATCCAAAGCCCTGACGGGCCGGATCCAGCCTGCGGGCCGTAGTTTGCCAACCCCTGATATAAAAGCTATTTCACCCACCAACAATGATTCATAAGACATGAAGGGCTAACAATCAGAAAGTGACGTACCGCTAAAGGTAGCTCCAGAATCTTTCACAAAGTCCTCCACAATAATGGACAAACTGGCAAAACTGGGCTGCCTTATCAGCTCATACACAGAGGGCTGAAAAGAAACAGGAGAATGAGATAAGTCTGCTTAGCTTTTACATAAGACAGATCCAAGCAAAACCAATAAGGAAAATATTCAGTCACAATCTATTCTTCTACCCACTTCCTTCTTCCAAAAAATTTTAATAAAAACATGCAACTGAAGTTATTTTTGGAGTACTTAAAAAAAAACAACAACCCCAAACCCCAAAATACCCGATATCCTACAGATATCCAAATTAGGGAGCAAACTGGAAATTATCATGGGAGTCAAACTCAGTCTGCATAGAAAGGTTAAGCACACAAGTACCTCATAGTGGCACCAACAGTACATGACTAAATTTGGGCCTTCTGTCTATTTTAGGATTTGGTTTTGCCACCATCTGAGAACGTCACACTTAATTAGAATAGCAAAGCAATGTCCCTAGAGGATGTCATGGGTTTTTCTGCTCTTCTCCCTTCTCTGATTCTGTGGTCTCTGCAAATCTTAAATAATGAGAGGTGAAAATGGTCTACCAGTGTCAGGGAAGGAGTAGAACATCATGCCCAGAAACCAGGAGAGAAGCTTCTGAGAAAACAATAGTTGACTGAGAACTGCATTATACCAATGCACCCTGAAGCTCTGTAATTATAAATATAATTCCACTTAATTGAACTTCCAATTGATTACTTTCAAGTTGTTTTGCAATAATGGTAATAGCAAGCTATCTCTGATAAAAGTTTGTTACTTGACCGCCATCAGCATTAAATCCAGCAAAATCACCTACATGAAGAGATGAGCAAAGCTTTGTGCCCACAAAACATGATAAGTTGGGATGGAATTACAGACTATGTTGTTTTGTAAAAAGCTAGAAATGCTTGGGGCCATTTTATAGCTACGGTGAAATACTCCATGAGTATGTTTAGCTGGGATTCTGTAATTCTGGATGTTAAAAGGCATTCGACTCCACCTCATGATTTGTAACACGCCAAGGCATGGTGCTATTCCAACCTGACACATTGTACATTACATCTGCTTGCTTACTCACACAGGTGTTAGTTTTCCTATCGTGTTCTATCTTAATGGAATCCACACGGGGATATTTTTGAACCCTAGCACTTCATAAAGTTAAAATAAATACACCACACTAACGAGAAGGTAACCCACGATGGGCAGGCAGGTATATTAACAATTCTCAAATCATGACATTGGGGGTCACAGAAGCAATCCAAGATCTTAATGCAAATGTGAGAAAAATAATCTTTCAAATAAAACACAGCCTGACCTTCAGTTCCTTATGGTCTAGGAGGTGTTAACACTCAACCATTCATGCATACAAAATCATCACACATAAGACGTACTTTTTCTTAAACAAAAGATTATTGGACAAGCCCTTTGCCCTGTCCCATGAACGATCTGCCTTCTGTTAGCTACTTCTGTGGCCCTCTGCCCTGTCCCATGAACGATCTGCCTTCTGTTAGCTACTTCTGTGGCACTTTTGCCTGCAGTGCTGGCTAAAGGGAGGTAAAAAGATAGCTCTCCACCTTGCTGCTTCTGGGGTCAGCCCATTCAACCATGATATAAAGGAACTTCCCACTTCTGCATTCACACAAGAGCATGATACTGACAACTAATTTAACAGCAGAAAATATATGTCTGGATCCAGTAAACAACATGCAAGAGATTAACCCCACTGAAATGTCGCCTAGTCGTGATCTCTATACTGCAGAGCCCAGTTACTTGGATTCCGTGCAGGACACAGTGTTTGTGTCTGATTCATAGGCGTGCGCAGCCCATTTCATTAGGGTGTGCACCCAGGGAGCCCCACCCTGCCCTAGCCCCACCCCCATCCTGCCCCCATCCACTCCCTCCTACTTCTCGCCCCCTGACTGTCCCCCTCAGAACCCCCAATCCCCCCTGCTCCTTGTCCCCTGACTACCACCTCCTGGGACCCCTGCCCTTAACTGCTCCCCAGAACCCCTCCCCCTATCTAAGCCTCCCTGCTCCTTGTCCCCTGACTGCCCCCCTAGGACCCTACCCCCTACCTGTACCCTGACTGCCCCGACCCTTATCCACATCACTGCCCCTAGACAGACCCCCAGGACTGCCACGCCTATCCAACCGCTCCCCACCCCCTAACAGGCCCCCACCAGAACTCCTGACCCATACAACCCCCTCTGCTCCCTGCCTCCCCAACCCCTCTCCAACCCCTGCCTCCTGACAGCCCCCCCAGAACTCCTGACTCATCCAACCCCCCCAGCTCCTTGTCCCCTGACCACCACCTCCAAAGACCCCCCATGAGATGAGGGTCCTAGCCTCCCCGCGGAGCCAAACACTGCCCCGCAGAAGCATGCAGCCCCAGCTCCACAGGTGGGATGGGAGACAGAGGGGCTCAGGCCAGCTCCACACAGAGTGGGGTCAGGGCTTCAGCCCTGCAACTTTTGCCACTAGGGTGGCTGGGGTTCACGAGACGGGGACTTCAACCCCACATCTTCTGCCAGGGTCCAGGGCTTCTCCTCCCTGCCCCAGTGTGGCTCCTCCGCCCCCGCCCCCCCCCCCCCCCCCCCCCCCCCGCCCCCCCCCCCCCCCCCCCCCACCACACCCCACTCCAGTGCAGCTCCTGCCAGGGTCCGGGCTTCTCTCCTCATCCCCCCCAGTGCAGCTTCTACCGGGTGCCAGGCTTCTCCTCTTCTCCCCCCTCTCCCCGGGCAGCTCCTGCCGGGGTCCAGGCTTCTCCCCCCGCAGTGCAGCTCCTGCCGGGGTCCGGGCTTCTCCCCTCCCCCCCAGTGCAGCTCCTGCCGTGGTCCGGGCTTCTCCTCCACACCCACTCCCTCCCCCCACGTGGCTCCAGCCCCGTCTGGGGTTTCTCTTCCCCCACCCCCGCATAGCTCCTGCTGGTATCTGGAGCTTCTCCCATTGCACCCAGCCCTAGCCTAGCTGGCCTCCCTTGGGTCACCTACTGCCTGCTGTGGCCAGAGTGGAGCCTGGCTGGCAGGGAGCAGCCATACACGTGGACGCCATGGCCACCAGCCCAAGAGGTGCGGGGCAGCCCTAGGCAAGCAGGGGCTGGCTGTGCTGCTGCTGATAGCCCAACACTCCCGCCCACACCTAACCCTAAGGCTTTTTTTTTTGGTGAGAGACTCACTTGGCCCCTGCCGGAGCAGGGAGGCAGGAAGCAGTTGATTTGAGCCTGCCCGGCAAACAGCTGAGGAGGGGAGGGGGGGAAGAGCAGCCTTCCCAGCCGGAGCTCAGGGCATTAGGGTGTGCACCCCGTGCGCACGCCTATGGTCTGATTGCACATTTCAATGTACAACTGCATCATCAGTTTAAACAAATCTGCATCTTTAATGACCATAACTAGGCCACAATGCACATATTACATTAAAAGTATCAGCATATGCTGTGATATCAAATATATATGCACCAGGAGTCTGCGTTACAGCTTCTGAGGAAACCATAACTTTTAATTTCCTGACTGTGTGTGTAAATTTTCAACTACAAAAGTTGCATTAGGAATGTTTATTATGAATATTGAGAAATGAATCTAGATCCTACATAGACAGGTGACAGTCTGTGGGTGATCTGAGACATTACAGCCTAGCAGCACAACAGGATAAGCAAGAGATCAATAATGGCAGCCTGAGTTTGAATTTCTTTTAGTTTGTACAAATAGCTCTTTTCTGAGTTAGATTCCTTTAACATGTAAAAATCATTCATAGAAATAAAATTCACGAGCAGTGTTATGGCACCAAATTGAATAACCATAGTATCTAGGGACATTTAAAGCCATGAACTATCAGCCAGAGAGGCTATGGCAAATTTGTTTAGAAGTTTTATCACCTTCATTTGGTATTTATAAAATACTGAGACTGACAGCACTCACCAGAGCAAGGCTGAATTGCAGCAGAGCCCTCATATGCAGTCTTGGGCCCCTACAAAACTCACCATCCTGGCCTACAGCACCCCTTGCCAATGACAGTCCTGCAGCTCTTGAATAACAAGTTGTTGAACATGTCAGATTGATTATTTTGATTTGGCCCAAAGTCTCTTAAGACCTAGGATGACACCAAAATCCCTGGCACTACCACACTAAATTACACTGCCCCATGCACAGTGAAATCCTCACTTTGGGAGAAGTTTGCTTCACAGTACCTACCCCGGTCAGGCTGTATCCCTGAAATACCCACGATTTATCCTCATTTGTGGCACAGCATAAAGCAGCAACTCCATGTCCCACAGCACAAATAGGCTCTAAAAAACAAAGAGAATTAAGTATCAGAGGGGTAGCCGTGTTAGTCTCGATCTGTAAAAAGCGACAAAGAGTCCTGTGGCACCTTCAGACTAACAGAAGTATTGGAGCATAAGCTTTCGTGGGTGAATACCCACTTCGTTAGACGCATGGGAATTAAGAAAATTAAGAAATTCATTTAATTATAAATATCCTGAAAGTTAGAACAGCCAAAATAATATCCTTTAAGTTACTGTATATTACCTTTCTGAAAAGAATATTATGAGGCATTGTTTGCATTCTCTTTGGCTTTACTGTTTTCTCTGTGCACCAATTTACGAGATTAGGGCCCAATCCTTCAGAGTTACACATGTGCTTAACAGAGGTAGTTCCAACAGGACTATTCACACTCAAGTGCTTAAATTAAAGCACACATGCGATTCTTTGCAGGATGAGGAACTTATTGAAGAGGACTCTGGAATACTGTGCAACTGGCTATGAACTAAGAGTTCCATCTAACTCACAGGGAGCATCACTCCAGTCTGGACATTGGTAAGGCAGAATAATTCTCTTCTCTCTCTCAAAAGCATTCAAAACATCTTATTTTTATCTCTTTTCACAAGGAAGGTTTTGCTATTTTTTTTTTTTTTTTTTTTTTTTTTTTTTTTTAAGTGAAAGGACACACTGATCTAGAGCAGTTTCCCAGTTCTGATGCTGCTGCACTCTTCCAGCTGTGTAAGTAATTTGAAGTTTGCTAGCCACATCACCACTTCTTCCATTACAATGCACACAAGTGTTCACTGCAAGATAAATGGACTTTTGCATGGACCAACAATGAAGTAATGAATTACATACAGACTCTGGATTTTATTAAAACAAAATAAAGATCCCCAATAGGGTTTACCTACTGTTCTCATTGCTGAAGTGCTGCAATATCCTAGCTAGGTATCCACTGTTTGCAAGGTCAGTCAAAGCCCCAGGACAGTTAGGAATCAACAGGGCATGGTATCTAGCACCTAGTCAGGAAGAGAAAATAATACAAGTTTGGACCATATTAACAGGCAAAAATATCTGAGCATGATTTCTTTTCAAAATTTATTTGACAAAACAAAAAATACTCCACAGAAGAGTCAGTCACATACTACAATATATAAAAACACATACCAAAGAAATTAAATAAAAATAAAATACCTATGTGGCTCACTATAAAGACCAAAGCTCGGGAAGAAGAAAGCTATATTGTGGTATAAAGGCCTACAAAGATCACAAGCTTCTAAAGAGATATTCTTAACAAGCCAAATTTCCTTCTGCTATAACAGAAGCCCTTTAATTGACCCCATAGTTACCAGTATGCCTAGTTTAGTATACTCTTTCTTCAGGAGCAAATATATCTCGCCAAAATATTGGCTTTTTATTTGTCTAACATTTTCACTGCTTGCCCATGACATCCTAAGAAAAAAATTAAGATGCAAAAAAACAAAACAAAACAAAAAAAAAAACCCCAAACCACACCTCTGTTTAAGAGCGAGAATTTTTTAGCACAACTTTGATTCAATCATGGGAAAGACATCTCAAGCCTAGTGCTTCTTCCCAATCTACACTAGGGAGTAGAGGCCCACTGCAATACCTAGACAGGGCCCATATCTTGGCTGAAATGCATGGCAAAATCCACGATGAGAAAGATAAATTCAAGCTCCTGGTCCTCATTTCCAACAAGGCTCTGCCCCATCTCACTTCTTGCCTACATCAGTTCCTCAGTCTGACTTTACAGCCCCCTCATGCTTCTTCCACAGTGTATGAGCTTCTCTTCTTACTGATCCTTTTGACTTCTTTGCCCACTTTACACCTTCTTTCATGAACAACCCTATCATTTAGCATATCATAAACCTTCTCCCACTCTTCCTTAATACATTTTCTTAAGACCCAGTTCATCTAGCTACAACACACTCAGTAATTTTCCTGTATTCTATTGCACTGCATCCACATGCCTTTATATTGTAAGTGCTTGGGGGAAGGTACTCTGTTAGGCATATTCTGCCGGAACAGTGCTGAGTACACATGTTAATAAAAACAGAAGAAAAAACATTTTATAGTTTCATCTCTTCCTGTAGTTTTTGTCTCAGTGATTACTTACGCAGTCCGTTTGCAACAGATGATGCAGCTTCTCCAGAAAATTTTAAGGGGGGAATAGCCCGAGCAATTAGTGTGGGAAGACAACAGTGATGCCCATTCTGCAAGTTGACAGACCATCTCCAAAAACACCCATCACATTTTTTGCTCCTTTCTTCCCAAAGGTTTAACACTCAGAAGCATTTGTTTTCACAATATAGAGGGGAGACATGTAAGGCTAACCTCAAAGATACTCACCATCAATTGACTCCAACTTGGCAGGATTTGCATAAGATTTCATTCGGAAGTCCTGTATCCAACGCATGTTGCTCTCATTCACATCAACAAAGTCAATTAACTTCCCCTAGTTGAATCATTGTTCAAAGATAGTAGTTAATATCACTACACAGTTTTTTGTTTAGTTTGTTTCTAAGTGTGTGGAGTTTATTTTTTTTTACAGGGACTTTAGTGCTCATTGGAACCAAAAGTTCTCTCTTTGTCCACAGAAAAGGTATTTCTCTCTCCAAGATGACTTAACCCTGAAATCAAGAAGCCATATCTAACAGGAGGTCTACACTACAAACTTTTGTTGGAACAGAGGTGTGCTATGCCAGCAAAAGCCTCTAATGTAGACATGTTTTTGCCAGTATCGTTTATTTTGCTCAGGGGGTCTGAAATAAGCTATACTGGCAAAAGCTAGTATACCACTCTAGGTATACTGGCAAAGTATTATTAGTGTAGACCTGGCCTCTGTTTGAGAAGAGGATATTTCATCTTCCAGGGCCCAGTTAATCCCTGGCCTTTTAGAGGCACAAATCAGAGTACTGATTAGTGCCAAACTATGATGCGGATTTGTGTGAACTGTTAGAAATGAACTTGTTTCAGTAATAAAATGGTATTAATTTTCAGTCACTTCTGTCCTGGACTGGATTTTAACTGGTGATCCAGAGATAAAGGCCTCTCCCAGTAGTATAGCTGTATATTTGTCAATTTGACAAATTATGTGAGTTTTTCCATGAAAAGTCTTTTTCACTCTATTCTGCCTATTACAGAGTTAAAGCTCTTCCATGAATTTCTACACAATTGGCTCTTTTCAATTTTTTGTAGTCATGTTTATATGCTTTTAAAACTATTAATGACAGTTAATTGTATTGGAAAATGATGTTTAAACTACAACTATAAGTGTTGCATTTGTTTGTTGTGAGGAAGCCACAACAAGCAACCAGACTTAACTATTACTAATCTCTCAAGAGTGATGTCAGAAATTTGAATTCCAGCCTGTTAGAAACAGAGAAAACATCAAACATTTGTCAAATGGTAATTTTTAATCTGTTAGCCCGCAATGAATTTGAACTACTGACCCAGAGGTGAGCAGATTTACTTCCTATTATTAGTCTCCTGACATATGTAGTTATCCAATTCAATATATTTTACAATAAACCCATTTAGAAATTTCTGAAAAACTTGTTAATCAAAATAAGTTATATGAATACTAAATTTTTAAATAAGCCCAAAGGATATTACATAAGGCTCAACTATCCACTGCAGATTTTGCCTGATGAGCAAGGTAAACATAGCACAGAGATGGAGCAGTATTGGGGAAAGTGTTCCTTTCTTAATATTAAGGAGTTCTGTGTTATTAGTTTTTATACATGCATTTAGAGATAGTTGGATCAGCACATTTTATTTCAGTTTACTTGTTTGTATCTGAGACAATAAGACAAAAATCTCAGTGCAGAATGAAAGTGAGTCATTTTCTTATTAACTTTGCAGGAAAGCAGTTTCAGTTTGGACTGTGGGAAACAACTTTTCATTGTGTGCAACTGAACAGAAGTGTTACATTGGTATTTTTTGCCAGACTAAATGTAAAAGTTGCTTATTTGTCCTTTTATGATCCATTTGATTCTTTGCAATCAATCACGCACGTTTGTTTTTCCAATAATTCATACAACCAAGCTAGGGAAATATTAGTTTGAATATCAGAATTTAAGGCCTTGATCCTATGCAGCTACACTCAATGTTTTTATTAAAGGCTTTAACATCTTAAATGAAAATGAAGAATCTTTAACGAAGATGTCCTTTAACTTCAATGACTAACATGGTCAAAGTGTTAGCAAAACACACAAAGGGTCAGATTTTCTGTAGTAATTCCAATCCCTCTGCGTCAACTAGAAAACAGCCAGATCTGACAGCTGAGAATTCCTCTGGTGTACAGGAACTCCCAGCTGGCGCAAAGCTGGCATACCAGCCTCCTATGCTAAACACACACACACACTCCTGTCGCCCCAGGATAGGGACTGAGGCAGAGGAGCATGGCCAGAACTGGTTATCATATGGCTATACCCAGCTGGGGTAGTAAACACTGTGGACTGTTGCTAGGTGATGCAAGTTAGAGCTGCCCCCGGTTGCTCTAAGTTACGCCAGGACAGGAACAGATCAACCCTGAGAATCAGGGAGATGCAACAGGCTCCCTGAGGGCTTCCCCTGGCTGTACCAAGCAGAACTAGGTGCAGCAGAGAATCTGGGTCAAACAGTTTTTAAAAGTCTGAAAAACCCCTTCCCATTTCTATTGCTCAATTTTTACTATCTTGATTCTTATGATGTCATCATTTTCCTAGTTCTCTAGTCAAAATCTTCCAGAGCCGGAAAAATCAAAATGTCTTATATGCAAAACAAGCAACAAAAGATTTTGTTGGGGTTTTTTGAGGGGATGAGAGGGGGAGAAAGAAGTTGACTATTCAAACCTTCTTTAAACAACACAAAGAAGCAAAAGAGAGCACAATCTCCATGGTTTTTTCCCTTTGTAGATCCCCTTTAAAAATTCTTGCAGTATTTCAGGAAACATCCTGTAGAACAGGGGTGGGCAAACTTTTTGGCTGGAGGGCCACTTCTGGTATGCGGGCTCTGGGGTGGGGCCGGGGGTATAGGACGGTGCTCCGGGCTGGGACTGAGGGGTTCGGAGGACGGGAGGGAATCAGGGCTGGGGCAGGGGGTTGGGGTGCGGGAGGGAGTCTGGGATGCAGGCTCCGGGCAGCGCTTACCCCAAGCAGCTCCCAGAAGCAGCGGCATGTCCCCCCTCCAGCTCCCACGGTTCCCAGCCAATGGGAGCTGCAGGGACAGTGCTTGGGGCAGGGGCAGCGTACAGAGCCCCCGGCTGCCCCTACACGTAGGAGCCCCAGGGGGGACATGCCATTGCTTCCAGGAGCCGCGCAGAGAGGGACAAGCCCCCGACTCCACTCCCTGCCTGGAGCGCCGGAGCAGGGCAAGCCCCGGGCTCTGCTCCCCGGGGGGAGCTCGAGGGGCCGGATTAAAATGTCTGGAGGGCTGGATGCAGCCCCTGGGCCGTAGTTTGCCCACTCCTGCTTTAGAACATAAAAAACAAAAGGACTTTATAATTATTATTAATTAATAATAATAATTATAAAGCATAGACCCCAATCCTACAAACACTTATGCATGGGTTTATCTCTATGCATATGAGTGTTCTCATTGAAGTTAAGCATGTATGTAAGAGTTTAAAGATCAAGGGCCTTCATCTGTAAAGATGATCAGAATTCTCGCAACAAAGGGCTACCATACTTTTTCATTATTACTAGTTTATACATTAATGCAGGATTGGTTGTTTTCAGACCATCATAGTATGTACTGGTGTCAATTGCTGTTCTCTCACACTTACCCCTGGAGTGGCAACTTGTAGATTAAAAGCAGCGCTAGCCAGTGTAAAAGAATGAAGAAAGGATTGGGCAGACACACCTGGAAAATAAGAGTTGGACAACTTAAGGAAAGAATCATCATATCTTAAACCCAGCTACACTGTACAGTACATATTTCACCAAGTAGCCTATGTTAAATGAACCTTCAGGTCACTAAAAGGCTCCCATGGCCTAGGGGCATTTTTAATAACACAAGGAGAAATATTCACAAAGATAATGTATCATACTTTCACACTCTACACTTGATGTTAGTATTTTAATAACGGCATTAGAAAATGTAATGCTTTGAAAAACAGGAACAGTACAAGCAGAGTCAGTGTTAATGAAATTAGAGAGAGCAACAAAATCCAAAGTCCCAGACCAATGAAAAATTAGTTAAGAACATAAGAATGGCCATCCTGGGTCAGACCAAATGTCCATCCAGCCCAGTATCCTGTCTACCGACAGTGGTCAATGCCAGGTGGCCCAGAGGGAGTGAACCTAACAGATAATGTCAAGTGATCTCTCTCCTGCCATACATCTCCACCATCTGACAAACAGAGGCTAGAGACACCATTCCTTACCCATCCTGGCTTATAGCCATTAATTGACTTAACCTCCATGAATTTATCTAGTTCTCTTTTAAACCCGGTTACAGTCCTAGCCTTCACAACCTCCTCAGGCAAGGAGTTCCACAGGTTGACTGTGCACTGTGTGAAGAAGAACTTCCTTTTATTTGTTTTAAACCTGCTGCCCATTAATTTCACTTGGTGGCCCCTAGTTCTTATATTATGGGAACAAGTAAATAACTTTTCCTTATTCACTTTCTCCACACTACTCATGATTTTATATACCTCTATCATATCCCCCCCTTAGTCTCTTTTCCAAGCTGAAAAGTCCTAGCCTCTTTAATCTCTCCTCATATGGGACCCCTTCTAAACCCCTAATCATTTTAGTTGCCCTGCTCTGAACCTTGTCTAATGCCAGTATATCTTTTTTGAGATGAGAAGACCACATCTGTACGCAGTATTCAAGACGTGGGCGTACCATGGATTTAGATAAGGGCAATAAGATATTCTCCGTCTTATTCTCTATCCCTTTTTTAATGATTCCTAACATCCTGTTTGCTTTTTTGACTGCCGCTGCACACTGCGTGGACGTCTTCAGGGAACTATCCACGATGACTCCAAGATCTCTTTCCTGATTAGTTGTAGCTAAATTAGCCCTCATCATATTGTATGTATAGTTGGGGTTATTTTTTCCAAAGTGCATTGAAACAGTCTCCAAAAAAGGAACAGCATTGACTGTGCCATCTTCAGAAATTTCTAAAAGAATGACCACCTGGCATCTGACGTAGCAGGATAAAGAACTATGGGAAAGGATTGTGCCTGGACACGTTAATTATAGAAATCTTAAGTTCTGCTCAGAGCAAGTTCTAGCCATTAAGGTATTTTTACGGCCTGCAACAGCACAGTAACTGAGCCTTTCACAAACATTAATGAACTCATTCTCACCACACTACTGGAAGGTAGGGAAGTAGTATTATCCTTAGATTACAGATGGGGAACTGAGGCATAGAGAGATTAAGTGACTTGCTTACGGCCACACAGGAAGTCTGACAAAGCGGATTATTGAACCCATCTCAGCACCTGAACTACCAGATCAACCTTCCTCTGAAATATCTTAGTGTTGTTCCTGTCTTTCTTCTGCTGGAAGCGATTAATAAATCTCTCTCCAATGAGGCTGTGTGTGCAAGCTCAGTTTGCCAGCCAGGTCTACGACCCAGCATCTCCATTCCCTCCCGGACAGCCTGGATCCCATAATGAACACACGGTGGGCCTGGGGGCTGGCACAGACCCCTCACCTGCCCCGGAGCCAAGCTCGGCGCGCCGCTGTGACAGCGAGGGCAGCGGGCTCACCCCGGGCAAGTTCTACACGGGCTGGGAAGGCGGCGGCAGAGCAGGGCCCTGGTCCCCCCCTGGCAGCAGGGCTCAGGGAGCGGGGCGGCTCCTGCGGTCACCGCGCTGGGGCTGGCGTGGACTCACCCCCGGAGGCCGCGCTGGCGATGATGAGGCAGGCGGGTTTGCCGGGCCGCTCCGACATGGCGCTGGCGGGGCCCGGCGGCGGCGGCTGCCTCCTCATACGGACGGGCCCGGGCGACGGCCCCAGCGGAGGTTCCCGGGCCCGGCCGGCCCGCACCGCGCAGGCGCCGCGGCGGCACCGGTTAGAACAGGGGGCGGGGCCTCGCTCGACTCCGCCCGGCTGTTCCCCTCCCCCCCCCCGCCAGCGCCCGGGCCCACGGGGCAGAGGGGTGGGGCCGAGAGGGGGTGTCCTTGGCCGGGGGGAGGGGACAAGAGAGTGTCATTGGCAGGGTTGTGTGGGGCTGGGGACAGGAGGAGCTGTCGTGGCCTGGGGGCCATACAAAGGTCCCCCATTCTGTTAGCATTATTCAGGTTGCAAAGTGAAGCACTCAAAGCTAGGAAATGCCCAGAATTAACATTGCTGTGTGCAGGGGTCCTACAGCTGACAGCCTCCTTCAATACACAACGCTGATTCAGCCCCAGAGCAGGGGCAGCCTGTGCACTGAGTGGATGGGGTCCTGGGGGGAAATAAAAACCCTGTGATCGTAATTAATGAGGACAGTAGCCTAACACAAACACACGAGGGGTCAAAATTAAAGCTGCACAAAGATAATCTTAATTCTGTCATTTTCCAACTTCAAGGTCTTGAGTTTGCAAGTTTAATGTTCTTTTTAGGTGGGGCTGTTCTTGTTTTATTTGTTTGTTATGTAGTTTCCTAGCTTTTAAAAAAGCAAACTGAAAAAACAGTAACTCCATCATGTAGAAACATACTGAGTTACATGCCCCCCAGCTCCTTGTCCCAATCCCCTTCCCCCCCACCTGCCCTTCCTGGGCCTCTTGTTCCAGTCCTTCCACCCCTCAGCTCCACCTCTTAGTCCAGCTTCTCATCCCAAACCCACACTGTACCTTGGCTCCTCACCCCACGCCCAGTATTGTGGTTCCACATCCCAGTTCCAGTCCACCCCCTGGCTTCTCAGCCCAGTCCTCATCTAATGCCAGGCCCAGCTCCTCTCCCCTCCGCATTCCTGTCAGACTTCTTCCTCCTTCACTGCCTCGGGAGGGGGGGGGGGGCACCAGAAGGGGAAACACTCAGAGAACAGGAAAGGCTGACTCTCAGTTCCTCTGCCCAGCACCATATCAGCCCTTAGCTGCCAAGAGTAGCCATAGCAATTTGCAGCAACAATCCTGCTAAGCATCTGCAGTCCTTGGTAGGAGCATGCTCAGTCATTGTGTGGGGAATGGCATTGGTGCAGCCACAGGCAGAGTCCAGTCATAGGTAGAAGCTGTAATGGGGAGGCTGGAGCATAGTCGGTGCAGATGGAATCTGCAGAGAATTTAGCAAACTCTAAAGTCTCTAGTAGGCAGGTGCAAACTGAGATTTTGAGAGCCGCTTCACTTGGTCAAATTTTGGACATACTGTGACGTTGCACTCTATATGATTTTATAAATATATGCTAATGAGTGAATATAATGTAACTGGAATATGCTTCATGCAAAAGTTCTCTTGTAAGGTATCATTACAAAGCTTATAATCTACTGAGTGTGGTCATCCTATTTGTATAAATGTATCACTCTTGTATCTAAAACTAGAAATATGAAATATAACTCTGAGGGCCTATTGTAATTATTCAAAGTGTTGGCCATTAATGGTGGTTTGGAATCTTGATGGTCCCCATCAACCAGGACAATTGACTGTGGATGACTCTGTTTGCAGGCAAGCCTTCCTGTGAGTCTGGCTGGGAGAAATGAAGGCTTGAAGTCCTACAGTGACATGTGATCATGTCACCTGAACTGGGATCCATCTTTAACCTGGTGTCTTTCCATTGACAAGGAGGGGGTGGGAACCTAGAGAGGGACAAAGGATTCCCGCCTTATGCAAAAGATATATAAAGGGGTGGAACAGAACAAAAAGGAAGGAGCCATCATGAAGAATCCCCTAGCTACCACCTGAGCTGGAACAAGAGCTGTACCAGGGGAAAGAATTGTGCCCAGGCCTGGAAGGTGTCCACTCTGAGGAAAAAACTTACTGAAGCATTTCTAAGGGTGAGATTATCTTATTCAGTTTGATTAGACATAGATTTGCATGTTTTATTTTATTTTACTTGGTGACTTACTTTGTTCTGTCTGTTAATACTTGGAATCACTTAAATCCTACTTTCTGTATTTAATAAAATCACTTTTTACTTATTAATTAACTCAGAGTATGTGTTAATACCTGGGTGGGCAAACAGCTGTGCATATCTCTCTATCAGTGTTATAGAGGGCGAACAATTTATGAGTTTACCCTGCATAAGCTTTATACAGGGTAAAACGGATTTATTTGGGTTTAGACCCCACTGGGAGTTGGGCATCTGAGTGTTAAAGACAAGAACACTTCTGTAAGCTTCTTTCAGGTAAGCCTACAGTGGTTAGGGGACGTGATTCAGACCTGGGTCTGGGTTTGCAGCAGGCTAGCGAGTCTGGCTCAAACCAGGCAGGGCACTGAAGTCCTAAGCTGACGGGGCAGGGAAAGCAGGGGCAGAAGTAGTCTTGGCACATCAGTTGGCAGCTCCCAAAGGGGGTTCTGTGATCCAACCCATCACACATACGTTCACAGGAATGGTGAAAAGTACATATCTGACACGAGCTACTCCCCTTCCCACATCCAGTTTCTACTTCAATATATAAGAGGTGCTAGAGCAGGGGTCGGCAACGTTCGGCACGCGGCTCGCCAGGGTAAGCACCCTGGCGGGCCTGGCCAGTTTTATTTACCTGCTGACGTGGCAGGTTCGGCCGATTGCGGCCCCCACTGGCCGCGGTTCGCCGTCCTGGGCCAATGGGGGCAGCAGGAAGCGGCGCGGGCGAGCGATGTGTTGGCCGCGGCTTCTCGCCGCCCCCATTGGCCCGGGACGGCAAACCGCGGCCAGTGGGGGCCGCGATCGGCCGAACCTGCCGTGTCAGCAGGTAAATAAAACTGGCCCGGCCCACCAGGGTGCTTACCCTGGCGAGCCGCGTGCTGAACGTTGCCGACCCCTGTGCTAGAGCTTCTCAATGAAATGATTGTTAGGATTTTTTAACATGGACAAAACAAGGTATTTTCCCCGAGCCTTTTCTTTGGAAACAGCTAAACTATTTTTGTTGAAAAATTCCAGAAATAAATTCACCCTGAGGCAGACACCCAGCAGGAAAATTTCAGCCCAAACAGTTAAAATTTGGCAAAGTTATAAGTAATTTTAAAGAGGGTCTTAAAATAGAAAGGATCAGATAACCTTATCTATAGGCAGTGCTACCTGCACCCCTGTAATAACATAGGCTTACATTTTCAAACATAGATGCTTAAGGCTACGCACCTAAATCCATATTTAGGCCTCTAAATAAGTGTCCTGGGGCCAGATTTTTTGAAGTACCAAGCATCCACAACTCCAATTTAAGTCACTAGGAGCTATAGATGGTCAATTCCTCTGAAAATCAGGCCAATTATTTAGGTGCCTAAATTTTAAATATGGATTCAGATGCCTAACTTTAGGCATCAAGTTTTAAAATCCAAAGCTATGATACTTTGCTAAAAGCCCTTTAAAAATTGTCATTAACTCTGTATTTCTTCTCCCAGCATCGCTGATCAGTAAGATATTTGCATTCTCCATTTCAAGGCCTTAGAGGCAGGCGATCAGGGCAGTCCTTCTGGATTCCAACTTCATGGGGGCGACAAATCGACATCAAGGGTGCTACGTTGCTTGGCCACACAGCTGTTTGGTTTTTTTCCCCCGTCTCTCTCTCTCTCTCTCTCTGCTTGGCCACTTTGTTTTTGTTTTTTGCTCATCTGCTTCTCTCGGGGGGCACCAAAAACGTTCCACTCTGGGCAGCAAAACACCTAGGGCCAGCCTTGTTTCAAACCCTCTGGATTTTTCCCTTCTGCAACTGCATGCTCAAAGCAAGGAGGGAGATAGTGAGTCCTACAGTGTCAGTTGACTTCAGTGGAAGTTGTGGATGCTTAGCCTCTTCGAAAATCAGAAATGTTATTTAAATGTCTAAATATGGATTTAGACATCTACCTTTAGACACCCACATATGAAAGTATTTACCCTAAGTGTCTCACCCAAAGAGATACAGCTAGCAATTGAACCCACAAGTGGGGGATTCCCATTCCCTTGCTCTAACCTCAAGAGCAAAATTCTTTCAGGATTGTGTACTTGAATTTGCAGAATCATTTGCTTTTCATCTGAAATTCTCCAGGTGCTGATATTCTCCAAACTCAGGCTTGGAAAGTCTAGAATTGTCCTGTTTAGATGGTGGACATCAAATCGGACTGAGCTCAAATACCTTATTATGCATCATAAGGCACGTAGCAACCATTACGCTATCATATTTTATCATGTCAATCATGCAATGCTTTTCACACACTCAGGCAAGGAGGAAACAATCTCACTTTCTTGACCCAAAGCAATTTTTCATTTTACACTTATTGTATTTTATTCCTAATATACTCCAATGAACCTGTTGAGGAGAGGGGTTGCGGGACAGGGACAGAAAGGAACAGCCATTTTGGTCTCCCTGCATCCTTTAAGAAGCTGCAGTTGCTATCAAAATTTCACAATGATGAGATTATAAAAGATCTCAGAGAACTAACCTATCAAGTTGCTATGGCAGCTGAAAGAGTGAAGATTGAAATTTATGGATCCAGGACTTGAGTGATTACATCGAGCCAATAAAACAAACATCAGAATTGTAAACTAAGTAAACAAATATTTGTCCTAGAACTATCTTTCCCATTCTTCATATCTACTGCTGCATTGCCTCACTTGTGTACTGTATGCTTTTAATTTTTAATGACTCGTTAGTCTTTGAGGAAGATGTTCATTTATTGTAAAAATCATTCTTTTTGGTGGCCTATTTCTATAAATCGTGTGTAGTAACAGTTTCCGGATTTGCATTTTTTCCAGTATTATTTATGTTCATTCGTTAGGCTTATTCTCTTCTATAGTCTATTAGCAAATAAAAGCATCAGTGTCAATACACAAGGGCTTAAAAGAAAGAGAGAGAGAGACAACATCATTTTCTTTTATTATTTTGTTTATGTGAGGAAACCTGTTTTGTAATGTTATATATTATTTTCTGCTTCCAGTTGTAAAGCAGGCTTCACTCTCATGA